GTGCAACACCGAGGGTTGCGATCCTGTTGCCGGTCAGTAAAAAAGACAAAAAGGAAAAAAAAAAAAAGAAAAAAAAGAAACAGGGACAATTCTGGAGCTAGAACCCAGGTCTGCTGATTTGGCCCTGGTATTCTTTCTGCCTGAGCGTGCCCCTCCAGCAGGAGGGTAGCAACCCCAGGAGGATTTCATGTAAAGACAGTTTGGGGATGAGGTTTCTCAACTGAATAAAAACAATAAAGCTCACTTTTATTGAGAGGTTTACTGTGTGCCAGGCACTAAGTATTTTTACTTGAATTAACTCAGTCCTCACAACAACCCTCTGAGGCATGTACCTTTATTCCCATCTTACAGATGTGGTAACTGAGGCACAGAAAGTGAAAGGAACTTGCCAGAGTCACACAGCCTAATAGAAGGCAGAGGAATCAGGGTTTGAAGCCAGGCAGCCTGGCAGAAGGTGAGCTGGTGGGGAAGGAAGGAGCCCCCCCACACCTAGGGATAAAGAGGGTCCAAGGCAGGCTGCAGGAGCTCCCTGCCTGCCTGTGGGTCAGGCTTGTGTGAGGCTAGTGGATAAACTTCAGCAGCAGACATCCCCTCTCTGAGCCTGCCACACACATAGCAAACGCTTTATAAAGAGTCACTGTCCTTGATAATATTGCCGTTGGTGCCCGCTGCCCATGTCCCTCCAGCCCCAGCAGGTAGACACTGGCAGTGTGCCCACCACCCGCTGCTCCCAGCCCAGATCTGATGAGCTGGCTCCTTTGAATAGGGGTGATTTGCAAGACCCAGGTGAGAAGAAGCAGTTGGCAAGTGTAGAGCATGCCCCTGGTGACCCCAGATCCACAGGTCTCCAGGAATTGGGAGCAGCTAGTGTGTCACCCCTGGGGCTTGGGGGAAGAGATGGCTCCAGGGCTTGCTGGCCACCCAGCCCACACGAGGGTTGAACCCATCTCTTCTGGGAAGTCTCTCAGTTCCTTGTAGGTCTGTGCACTATGTTCTCAGAAAGGGCGTGGGCATGACCTGGGAGGGCCTTCACCTCTCCAGCTACCACCATGTTCCCAGAGCAGGTCTTCTTCTCGGGTGTGAGAATGTGTGGCCAACAGGGATGGTGGTTGGTGGTGGTGGGGGGTTAATGCATTTTTTTTACTATAATAAAATATATGTAACAAAATTTACCATCTTGACCATATATGGTGGTTGGTTTTTAACATCTGGCTGGGTGTTAATAGCAGTGATTGCCATTTGGGAGGTGATTACCATGTGCCAGGAGCTCTCATTTAATTGTGAAAATAATCCTATAGACTAATATGATACGCCTATTTTACAGATAAGAAAGTTGAGGCTCAGAGGTTAAGTGACTTTCCCAAGGACACACAGCTAGTAGGTGGCTGAGCTGAGCCTCAAATCCAGGCAGACTTGGCTCCAAGCCTGCTCTTTTCACTAATACTATCTGCCACTTCTCATCCCCAGGAGAGTGGGTCTTACTATCTCCATTATATACATGTGGAGACTGAGGCTCAGAGAGGCCAAGTGACTGACCCAGGGTCCCAGAGCCTAACAGGAGGAGGGCCAGGATTCGAGCATGGCTCTGTGAGCCGGGACCATCCTGGCACTCACCCGCCTGTCCCCCTCCTCCAGGTGGCGATGGTGGAGGTGCAGCTGGACGCTGACCACGACTACCCGCCGGGGCTGCTCATTGCATATTTTTCCTGGTGCCCCATTCAGGTGAGCCTGTAAGCAAAGTTTTTTAAAAAGTTTGTTTTCGGGGCTGGCCCGTGGCTCACTCGGTAGAGTGCGGTGCTGATAACACCAAGGCCATGGGTTCGGATCCCATATAGGGATGGCCGGTTAGCTCGCTGGCTGAGCGTGGTGCTGACAACACCAAGTCAAGGGTTAAGATCCCCTTACCGGTCATCTTTTCAAAAAAAAAAGTTTTCAACACTTCATTTTGAGGAAAAATTTTTTTTTTCTTTTGGCACTGGCTGGTATGGGAAACTGAACCCTTGACCATGGTGTTACAAGGCCGTGCTCTAACTTGAGCTAACTGGCCAGCCCTGAGAAATTGCAAACCTAGAAAAAAGCTGCATGAAATATATAGAGTTATTTCTTGTTATTCGAGGTAGATAGATTCTATAAAGTCATCATGAACATTGGATTAGTGGGTATTGAACCATTGATCCTAAGGGAAATACAGGGTTAGGTTCCTGCCAGCCTCTGGTCATGATATTTTCATCAACCAATTAATACGTAATCTGTTTTAGGAGTATTTCTGTTATTGTTCACTTGTTACCATTGAACTCACAGCCAACAGCACTAAAACTCAATTTTTTCTCCCTAGGACACATCATATCCTCTTGCACTTACGAATGCTAGACAGCACTCATGTATCTCACTTGGGGACCATTTTAAACAGCAAAATCAATAAAAAGCACAAAAATGTGAAAAATGTGATACTAAATAGACTGTGAAAAGGACACTTGTTTACAGTATGAAAGCTGAAACGAGAGGGCACAATGTCACCCTGGTCGACCTTAGCAAGTAGTGAATTCACAAATACTGAAACTGAATAGTAAGGATGGATTCTGTGTATTTTCCCTCCTGAGCCATATGCCTTAGTTAAGGGGTCATGGTCCTTCGTGCCTAAATACTGCCTCCTAAAGCCAAGGACATTCCCCTACATAACAACAAAGCAATGATCAAATTCAGGAAATTTGACATTTTGGGGGGTGGCTGACATTGATGCAATGCAATTACCTAACATAACATCCATGTTCAATTTCCCATTTGTCCCAATAATGTCCTTCTTAGCTATGCTTTTTCCAGTCCAGAAATGTATATTCCAGTGAGTTGTCCCATCTTAGTTTCCTTTAATTTGGAACAGTTCCTCAGCCTTTGTTTTTTTTTTTTTTTTTTTTTTTTTTTTTGCAGCTGGCCAGTAGGGGTATCAGAACCCTTGACCTTGGTGCATTAACATTTTTGAAGAGTTCAGGCCTGTGATTTTGTAGAATGCTCCCTCAGTTTGGTTTCTCTGATATTTTCTCATTATTAAAGTCAAGTTGTACATTTTGGCAGGAGTATGTTAGTGAAATTGTGTCAGGATCCATTTAAAATAACAAAATGCAAATAGTTAACCATTGTGCGCAGATGCTGTTGTAAGTACTGTGCATCGCTCATTTCACCCTCAACAGCGTTATGAGGTGGGTACTATTATTATCTCCATCTTGCACTTGACAAAACTGATGTCTGAAGAGGTTAAGTAACTTTCCAGTATTTGAACCTGGAAAGTCTGGCTCAGAGCCTAGGCTCTCATAAAAATCACCTGGGCTGATTCTCACTTTGCTTGAAAAATTGGAAGATCTAGCCACACTAGACTCACCTTCTTGCAGAGCAAGAATGAGCAGTAGCTGAGTTGCAGCCACCTTCTTCCCCAGAGCCTATTGCTACAGTCCCCACCACTACCTCTCATCTCATACCAGGCAAGCTTCATGCCAGTTACTTGCCATGCCCCATAAGCCCTTGAGTTTGAGATTTCTATGTGTCCCGGAAACCAAGTGGTTTTATAAAAGAAAAGTGCTGAAGTGAAAGTTGGATGGGATATCCACAGGCTTAATATGTGTCTCCCTGCCATCAGTTTTCCCCAGGATGTTTCCACAGAACTGAAAGACCCTTGAGGAACACAGTGTGGAAAGTGGCCTTAAGGTCTTGTCCTGTGTAGACTCAGACACGGTGAACAGCAGCTTCAGGGGCTGGGTGGGGAAGGGGGCCCTCCTTTTCCTACTGGACCATCTCACGTCTACCCTGCAACACAGGCACCAGGACTCACCCCCAAGACTGGGACCGGGTAGCACTGGACAGGAACCCCTGTGTGTAGCACTCCTCTGCTGCCCAGAGAAGGCCTGGACGTGTTCCGCACATTCCCCTAGGACAGCCACCTCCCTGCTTCCGCAGAGACCCTGGATCCAGCTGGAATAATTTCTGGGGTATGATCCTATAGATCATAAGCTCACCTAAACTCAAGAATCACTAACTTGGCCTGTGAAATGCAGATTTCCAAGCCCTCTCTCTGATTCAAGTTGGTCTGGGTGTGTCTCTGGAATCTGTTTCTAACTAGCACCATGGATACTCTCACACCCAAGCAACTTAGGCAAACACTGGCAGCTAAGAGCTCAGTCTTTTTAATTTCAGTTTTATTTATATTTTGAATAGATAATACATTCACATGGCTCCAAATACAACAGTGAAAAGTTGTTCTCCCTCCCTGTTCCCAGGTCTCCAGTTCTCCCCAGAGACAACCACTGTTGCCAGTTATTGTGTCCCATTTAGCAGTATTTTATACATAAAAAAGCACACCCTCCCCCTACTTGTTCTAAAAAAAATGGTAAGCCTGAATACACACTGTCCTGCACCTTAAAGAGCAGATAGACACAAGTCTTGGTGACTTGGGAACCTCTCTGAACCTCAGTTTCCTCTAAAATGACACTAGGTTAGAGCGCAGCCTTGTAACAACAAGGTCAAGGGTTCAGATCCCCATACCAGCCAGCCACCAATAAAATAAAATACAATGGCATTAATAATAGCAGGACACTTCACAGGTTGTTGGGGAGTAACAGGAGTGGAGGCTTGCAGCACAGGGACTGGAAAAGGGTGAACACTCTGTATCTGGTAGTTACTGTTAATTCTACACGGCAGGGCAGGCTTGGCTACAGACTGAGAACCACGCCCTGGGTCAGGCCACCCCACTTAAGATTTAGGGGTCAGAGAGAACCTCAGTAATGTCAAGGAGCATTTATTGAGCCTTTAGTATGTGCCAGGCACTTGCTGAGGGCTTTATAGACATCACCATAGCTCAGAGTTTCTCAACTTCAACTCTCTCTCTTTTTCGATGGCTGGCCAGTATGGGGCTCGAATCCTGGACCTTGGTGTTACCAGCACCATGCTCTAACCCATAGACATCACCATAGCTCAGAGTTTCTCAACTTCAACACTCTCTCTTTTTCAATGGCTGGCCAGTATGGGGCTCGAATCCTGGACCTTGGTGTTACCAGCACCATGCTCTAACCAGCTGAGCCAACCAGCCAGCCCTCAACATCAACATTCTTGACTTTAGGTTGAATAGTTCTTTTGTAGTGTTTACAGTATAGCATCCCTGGCCTCTACCCACTAGTGGGTAGCATTCTTCCCTGCCAGTTGTGACAACCAAAAATGTCTCCAGACATTGCCAAATGTCCCCGAGGAGCTGGGGAAGGGGGAACAGGATAAAATTGCACCCGGTTGAGCACTGCTACCTTATTTCATCCTCACAGTAGCTAGCCACAATAACCCCAGGTGGTAAGTACCGTTATTGTCCCACACTACTAGTGAGGAACCTTAGAAAACAAAGAGTTTGGGTGACATTCCCAAGAACACACAGCTCTGGGCTTCACACCCAGGCACTGACTCCAGAGCTCCTGCTCCTGCCCTTTATGCAAGAGTCTCTCTTATCTCTCAGGAATGTTGCCTAGATTAGAGTTAAGCAAAGCTCCTCCCACTCTCTGGTCCACAATTAACCTCAATACATGTTACTTGTCATTATTAGATCTGTTATCAAAGCCTCAAAATACTGCTGTGAGGTCTCCAAGTCTCATTTTACAGATGTGGCAACTGAGGTCAATTGCTTACGGTCACACAGCCCTAGCTCCACATTAAAATCACCTGGGGAACTTTTTGAAAGCCCAGGCTTCACCCCAGACAAATAAGATGGGAATCTCTGGGCATCCATACCTTTAAAGCTTCCATGGGATTCCAAGGTTGAGAGCCCCTGTGTTAAGTTGAGAAGCCAGGTTTTAATATCAAATCTTGGTGGCCAATGTGGCAGGATACAGGTTTTTTCTCCTCTCTGGGCTATCTCAGAGGTCAGAGGCCTGTATCCGCCTGCAGCCTGTGGGATGTCTTCCCCCTTCTCTTCCTGAAATCCCTCCCAAGCCCCCTCCCACCCCCATCCTCACACCATAGGCCCTGGGCTAATGCCACCTGGTTCTCCTTTATTCTCATGCACTCTGGAATGAGATCATAGAATGAAGGCTGTAACAAGAGGGTTCCCAAGGCCAGCTGGGGAGGAAAGCACTGGCCCCCGTATCAACAGAGAACAATCCAGTGCTGGGAGGAGTGAGGTACCCTCTGATGGTGCCAAGGGTGTGCCCAGAGTCGCTGCTCACTCCTCCAGTGGAGCCACACCGGTCTGAGCAGTCGGGTGACATGGGCTCGGGTTTCTCCTGAAGCTTTGATGTTCTCTCTGCAGGGGTGAGGGGTATGGTGCAAGCTGGCATTTGAAAGATGCTGTGCCAATGCCCTTCCCCCTCACTTATACCCCCCCCAGCAGGGGCTAGGACCAAACAAGTCCCCAATGGACAGATGTGCAAATGGCGGCCAGGGCCTTACTCAAGGCCATTTAGGGACAAGCAGCCCACTTGACTCCAACCCTGTGCTCATCCCAGAAGGCCCAGAGTGCAAAGGGGAAGCTTTGGGCAGGACAGGCATGCACTAGTCTTCAGTGAAATAGGTTTTGAAAGGGAGGAACAAAAAAGGACCGCTGGACAGCAGGAGGCAAGAACCTGCCTTCTCTGGTCTTGCCCCTTCCGTCCCCACGCCACCCACCCCCTGCTGTTTGGAGACCCCAGGAGATCTGTGCATTGTTCCGGGCCCTGGAGTTGCCTCAGCCTCATCAGAGGGTGACAGGTGTGTCCACTCCTCACCTGGCTTCATTCTCCTTCCTCTGTCTGTGGCTTCACTCTCCTTCCTCTGTCTTCTTGAACTTGGCCAAGGCTTCCTCTAGCACCCCATCAGGGTCTACAATTTTGACCTGGAGGGAAGCAGGGCAGGGGTGGTTTGGGGAGCATGGAAGACTCAGGCTACCACTTTGGGTGGGAGCTACTGCCTGCCTCCTGGGGATGCCCTGGCTGAAAACAAAACCTGGTCTGTTCGCTGGCTGGGCTGGGTGGGGCCAGACAGGGCTGGGCAGGGATAGGGGGGTGCTAGTTTCTGTCTCTCTCTGGATGTGGCCACAGGGCCCTAGTGAGGGCTGCCCACCTGAGGAATGGGGAACTGGGTGGGCTCAGGGGCCTCATCACGGCCAAAGTCAATCATTGTGCCACACTTGGCCACATCGTCCACCCAGAAGCCTTCAAACAGCTGGCCATGGTCCAGGTGGAAGAAACGCCCTGTCCCATTCTTCATGCCTCTCTCCCAGTAGCCCTCGTAGCGGTTTCTGTTCTCTGGGAGAAAGGACAGGGGGATGTGGGTGCAGGGAACACCAAACCAGGCTAGACCACCAGGCTGGGCCCTCCACCAGCTGCAGTTTACTGACAAGTATGAGCTAGTAATATTATCATTGAGCACTTACTAGTATGTGTCAGGCATCATGCTAAGCAATTTACAATATAAATCTCACCTTCACAGTAACCCTAGGAGTGAAGTTTTACTTTTATCCTTACTTTACAGATGAAGAAACCATAGCCCAGTTTAAGCAAATTGCCCAACATCACCCAGCTAGTAAGGGCTCAAAGCCAGGATCTGAACCCAGGCAGCTGGCTGCAGAGTCCAGACCGTTAGAAAAGACAAACTTAAAGCTTTCATGCTGTGGGCACAGCAGGCACTCACTAAAGGCAGGCTGTTAATAGGAGATGCTCACTGAAGGCAGGCACAGAGCTGGAGTGCTTGGGGACTAAGAATGTCAAACAGAAGTGGCTGCCCTAACCCTCCCCAGCTGCGCCAATACCTCAGCTTGGCTGAATCTCATTGGAAGTTGGAATCTTGAGTTTTAAGCAGATTGGGCTCTGGTTTGTGTTCTCACAAAGAGTACGTACTGTGTAGGCCAGGCACACAGTGATTTGGAGAACTTGGGGAACCAAACAGGTACAGTCCCAGTCCTTATGCAGCTCACAGTCTGGAGGGACCATGATACCAGCTTTACACAGAGTCTACTATGAGTCAGGTATTTCATGCAGACTCACTCGTCTAATCCTCACCACAGCTCTGTGAAATGGGTACTGCTATTATTCCCATTTTACAGATGAGGAAACTGAGGCACTGAGAGGCAAAGTAACTTGCCCAAGATTATGCACTAGTGCTAGGAAGGAAAGAAAGTAGGTGTTGAGAATAATGGGAAGAAGGTGCTTTAGGTGAAATGGACAGGGAAGGCCTCTTAGAGGAGGGAACAATGCAAAGATCTAGGGAACAGAATTCCAGGAATAGGGAACAGCAGTGCAGGGGCCCCTGAGGCAGAAAGTGTGGAGGAACTGACAGAATGTTAGTATGGCCAAAACCAAGGGAGTCCCAGGGAAGAGAAGTAGGAGGTGAAGCTGGAGGAGGGAGTAGGGCCGAATCATCCTGGACCCCAAGGACCACAGCAAGGGCCTCGAAGTCAGTCTGAGGGCACTAGGGAGCTATGGAAGGGTCAAAAGCAGGGCAATAATGAGGTCCAACTCGGGCTTTACAAAGCTCACTCTAGGCTGACCAGTTCTCAGTTGGTTAGAGCATGGTGCCAGTAACACCAAGGTCCAGGGTTCGATCCCTGTATTGGCCATCCACCAAAAATAAAAATAAGTAAATAAAAAGCTCACTCTGGTTGCTTTGCAGAGAGAAGATTGTTAAGTCCTGACACCAGTCTGGGCTTCTTATTCTTCCCTCTGCCTGGGATCGCTCTTCCTGAGCTCAGAGCATATTCGACTCCTCTCTTCCTTCAGGTCTCTTCAAATGTTCAAATGTCACCTCCTCAGGGAGGCATTCCTTGACCATAGTCAAGCTAAATAGCCCCTGCCCCCAATTCCTTTGACGTTTCCCAACACACCTTCCTCCTTTCTAAGGAGAATTCCTTAGCACTTTTGACCCCACAAATAACAGACTGCGTGACCTTGAGCGAGTAACTTCACCTCCATGCCTCAGTTCATTTGTAAAGTGGGGATGATAAGAGTATGTATTTGATAGGATTGTTGTGAGGGTTGAGCTCAGTGGTGTGTAAGCGTAGGCTATGATTATTGTGACCAAAAGAAATGGCCTTAGTCATGTATGTGTTCATTGTGAGGCTCCCTATTAGATTATAAATTTCCTGAAGGGAGGGATCCAGTCCTCCCATTCACCTTAACCCACACAGAAGCGTGGCTTAGCGCGGGTCGTGGTCCGGTGGGGGCGTGGCCATGCAGGGCCTAGGGGCGTGGCCGGATGGGGAGGAAAGGGGCCTGCAGGTCGCTGGGGGCGGGGCTTGCTGGGGCGGGGCGGGGCACTCACTCAGGCGCAACATGCCCTCCCCGTGGGGCTTGTCGTT